CAGGAATAGATGGGAAGTTCATTACTAGTCTTTGAATTTTATACAGTCAAGATTAACATGTGCACTTATCACAGACTTGGTCTATTTGTATTTACATGTGCAGAATATATGTTTTAATAGTCCAATTACATTGTGATAAAATACAGTAATCCTAAAAAGAGGAGATATTTATTTTGTCTCACTTTAGGAGGATTCGGAGCATGACTGCTTGATTTCAGAAACTTTGGTAGACTATCATGGTGGCAACACCCTGTGTAAAGGGGGCTCATTCCTCCACAATAGAATGAAAACATAAGGGAAGGGCCCAGAGATCAAGGCTGATTTGCAGAGGTCTCCAATGATCTATTTCCTCCAGCAGGTCTCACTTCACCTTCTAGAACCTCTCAAACTAATGTGAGGAGTTAGGAGCCAAGTACTCAACACTTGATCCTGTGGGGACATTTCATATTCCAACTGAAATGCTCTATGCTGACTCCTCACCAAATCATTGCAAAATGCTTTTAGTCTATCTGCAGGAGTCCCCTAAGTCTTCACAATCCCAATGTTATTCAAGAGTCTTAAGTTCAAAGTCTCCTCTGAGACTCCAGGCAATCTCTGAACTCTGAGCTCCTGTAAAATGAAACACAGGTTACATAACCCAAGGTATGAAGGTGCAGAGTAAAGTGTCTCGTTTCAAAACGAAGGGATGATAGAATAGCATTGGAAGGAAGCAAGACCTTTGAGCACAGGCACATGGCCATAGTATCTCTCATGTGGACACCAAAAGACAACTTGGTGAAGAAGTTCTCTTCATCCCTCTTAAATTATGTACCAGTAATCAAATTCAGGTCACTGGACTTATATGACAAGGACCTTTATCTGATGTACTGTCTCCCAGGCCGCTACTGATCATGTTTTTTTTTTTTTTTTTTTTTTTTTTTTTTTTTAATGTCATTCTGGCCTGAGCACCTTGACAATTGTCCATTCTGTTTATGGCATTCCATGAATTCTCTAATCTGTGATTCCAAACTTTTCCAAATACCTGCAAACTATTTGCAAATAACTAGAACTGCATGGTCAGGTTTGGTCCTCGCAACAGCCACATTGCAGGCATCGATCTTCTGTACTGGTTACTTTCCCATCTCTGTGGCAGAGCATTTGTCAGACACTAGGAAAGACTTATTTCTGCTCACTTTCAAAAGTCCCAGTGCATTGTTTCTTGATCCATGTGTTTGGGCAGATCAGTGTGATGATGGTGGTGATGATGATGATGGGAGACATGGATGGGAGAAATTCTTTATGTCATGGTTGACAGGAGAGAAATAGAAAACAGACACACATAGACAGAGAGAAAGAGAGCCAGAGAAAAACACACATACACACAGAGAGAAGAGAGAGAGACATCATCCTGGTATGAGAAATCTAAATGAATTGTGGTCTCTATTTTATCAAAGATTGAGAGACATAATAAATTCTATCATTTAAAAAGTCATAAGGCTGCATCTGAAAAAAATGTCATTTCATTGTGTAAGACTGTGTGGCTGAGCTCTGACCATTTAGAATGAGGACCCCTTTGCACTAGACATCGAAACCCAGTGAAACTTTTGTCTGCATGTGCTACTTTTCTTGCTTGCTTGCTTAAGTGCCAATGCACACTCCCATGCAGAAGTAAACACTTTTGTATTGCCAAATGCTTTTGTTTGTATAGTGTTGTTTCCTTAAAACCCATTATAAACACTGTCATTCCCCAAGAACATGCCTTTAGTGACATGTCCTTCAGCTAGACACAACCTTATAATGTTTCCACAGCCTTACAGAACAAAAAGGCTGTTGGGGACATTTCATATTCAAATCATAACACTGACAATCCAGGGTTGATTAAAAGTACTACTAACACTGAAAACTTTTTCCTTGTTTTCAAGTTTTTATTTAACATAGTTATGGTCACCCTATGTTTTGTACCTTTATTTTTTTTTTTAAACCTTAAAGTATGCTGAGCACTTCACTGTCTCCATAAACTCTTTATACAGCCAAATGTGGTGGCACATACCTGTAATCCTAGTATTTGGGTGTTCAGTCAGGAAGATCATGAGTTTAAGGCCACCCTGCACTACAAGAAGGGAAGAAAAAAATGTTTATGTACCTCACATTAAATAAATTTTAAGCATTTACAAATACTGAATAATTGGGTAGTTTATTTAATCGTGTTTTGCTTTTGAAATAATTGATATATGTCTTCCAGCTCACCATTTCCTTACTCTTTCACCCCTCCCATGCCTCTCGTCCTCTTTGTTCTTATTCCATTAGTAAAACTTCATGTTAAAACTAGGAGGCATGAGGAATCTTTTAAAACAGGGGTAGAACTTTCAGGAGCAAATTTTTGGATGCCATTTTCAATCCAGATGCTCTGGTAGCTGAATTCCTTCAAGACAGAGGTGGAAGAACCTTCTGTTAATTAGTGGTAATTGATGCCTAAATAATAGTCAAGCAGTCTGGTGGGCAGCTGCATATTGAGAATAATGAAGGAGAAGAACATTAACATCTGGCTTTAAAAGGCTGTTGTGGAGCAGTCATGGCTTTGGCTCTGCACACTGGCAGTGGGAACAGACCACTCAGGTCAGAGAAAACTGGTCCAGCAGAAGGCAGAAGCCACAGACTTCCTGAGAAGTTCAGAAATCATGTGAGGTACCATTTGTCCACTTTAAAACAATGTTTTTCATTTTGAAGATTCTGCAAATTGTATGTGTATTCTGGAGACTGAACACCAGTCACTGCCTTACTCATCTATATTCCTAGTTTTCTTTTCACTTTTGAAGAGTAAAGAGTTCCTTGGGTTGGCCTGCAGCTCACTCTGTAGCCCACTTGGTCCTTGAGTACTCCATCCTTCTACCTCAGCCTCACCTACAGATGGGATGACTGATCTATGCTGTTATGTTCAACATCAGATTATAGTCTTATTCTCAACTGGTCTGAAGAGCCAGTTTTCAATAAAATAAATAATTGCTGCCACTGAGTATGAAAATTGTCAAATTGCTAATTTTTTGCTCTTAAAAACTTTTAAACTTTTAATCTGAATACGTTTTTTTCTTTTTTTCTTGATCTCTTTTTTAAATCTTTTTTTTTTTTTTTTTTTTTTTTTTACAGAAAATTAGTGTGCTTTCATACTAAGGTAAAGTATTTGTCAAGCAAAGTCTCAAATATCAATAATGAATTGGAATATATTTTCAGTGTTGGATCAAATTCAGTCTTATACATGACAAATTCTGTTCTCAGCCTGAAAAAAAGAAAAGTGTGTTTTAAGAGTAAATTCACTTTAAGTACAACATAGTTGGTTAAAATGCTATTAGTTTTTTAAAAGAGTATTTCTGTACCTTGCTTCTAAGAGATTTGAAGACCATACCCAAATAGTAATATCACACTTTAATTCTATTGACTGCAGAATTCTTGATTATTTCTGTTCCAACAATATTTTCTTAAAGTGTCTCCAAGGGATCCACAAGGGAAAGGGCACTTTCAATGTGTGGTTCCCATATCTGCATGCAGTAAAACACCATCATTTTGACTCCCTCTTGAATTTCATGTATTTTCCTCTCAAAGTTACATATTTCACATCCAATATGTATATATACATATGCATGTATTGATGATAAATGTATTCATATGTGTGCATATATGTACACATGTGTGTTTGCATATATAAATGTTTAAAACACAAGTTGTAACAATATGATTTGAATTAGGAAGGCAGTCTTCTATATGTGCTTCCTAGCCTGCTCAGAGGCTGTCTAGACAGGAGGAAAGGGATACCTCTCTGAGCATGAGCATCCATATGAACTATGTTCATGTCTCTCATTCTTTAGAATGATGCCTATAGAGTTCACCAGGTAAAGTTGCTTTCTGAAAACTATGTTGCTTGATTTTCAGTATTTCAGGAGTTGAGGTACGAACAGACAGTCCAGATGTGAAGGCTTCTAATGACAAAGGTGTTGTAAGCAGACTAGATTATGATTCAACCTGAGGTTATTTGAATTTGTTCTATATGAGACCACCTACTTATTGATGATACATTTAAAATAAGATACTGTTTATTTAAGAGAGGTAAGAACTACCCATAGCCAGGTCTTAGAATGGGTTACTCAATATATGAAATTTTCTTTAAGGAAAACACAAGGTCCCTTGGAACCAAGACCCGAGATTATTATGGAATTCTAGCTGTGCTAATTCATACGTCTGACCTGGAAATGTTATTGAACATTTAGACTGACTCCTTTACTGGTGTTGATTGGATAGAAACAAGTACCACATATAATGTTTAGGCTTCCTTACATAAGTAGTAACAATATTACAAAATGAAAAAGAATGTCACTAATTAATTTATGAAAATGCTATAATGTTCTTAGCCAAGGAAGCCAAACTTGTCCTAGCCTTACATTGCAGAATTTATGGTTTTAATGAATAAAAGTTCACAAGGTATATTCATACTTGTAAGTGCTTTCTTCAATGAAAATTTATGTTTTGTTAGGATGCTCACACATTAAAATAAGGAATATAAAGAGTTAGTATTAGTGTTTCTACAAGAAAATACTCATATAAGCATTTATTAATGAAAGATAGCTTTATTTTGAACTTCAAGTACACAGATCTTACAATTTCTATGCATTGACGCTACCAGAGAGGATGTGTATGTGTATATATGTTTTATTTAAAAGTAAATAGAAAATATGTTCCTAACACAACTTCAAGAAGTATCAAAGGATAAGTAAATTCAAGCCACATTATTCTCCCATTACATTCCCATTATGACTGAACAACCATATCTACAAGAGTGAAATTATAGAACAGTTATTCCATATCTGAATATTTTTAATAGAATTTAAAAAACAAGAATATAAAAGTTTGTGGAAACCATTCAGACTTCTGTGCGTAGAATAACTAATTTATTCTGGCAGGTGATATTTTCAGTTTATTTCTCTTTTTTCTTTCTTCTTTCTTTAGCATGTTTTACTAGCCAGTGAAAATTACTATAGTTCCAACACAGCTATCATTATGAGAGAAATGATCCATCCCTTTGAATCTGGAAAATCAATCAGGGCTCCTTTAGAGTTTGGATTACTTGTAACATCTATAGTGGAAGCTGTTGTGGGCTGGGGAGGAGGTGGATTGCTCCGACAAGTTGGAATTGGTGGCTGCCATGTACTGTTACCCTCGCATGTGACAGTGTTGCTCCCATGAAGGAAAAGCCCCTGGTTACATTCAAACATGATTCTTGCTCTATAGGAATATTTCTTGCTGAATCCTGACGTCAGTCTCCCATTTTGAATGACTGGATATGGACATTTGACCACTTTGCACTCAGGAGGGTTAGCACTCCATAATCTGTTTTCAGAGCAATAAATCTGTCTCTCACCAACAAGGGAAAGTTTATCCTGGCCAGGAACTTGGTGACATTGGTAAGTTACAACTTCATGATATTCAAATACGTCCTTGTTACTTGGGGAGAATGCTCCATTTGCTATATTTGGAGGTGATTTACATAAAATCTTTGAACATACTGGTGGTTCAGCACTCCATTCTACACCTGATGCTGCAGCAAGACAAAATAAAATTTTTTCACCAATTAAGAAAAAACCAGGATCGCAAATATATTGAATCTGTGTACCAAACTCTGAACTTCCGTTCACGAACTTTGCTTGGCCATTGGTGGGATCATCTAGCCGTGGGCATGATTTTTTGTAACAAGCGTTCTTTGAAATGAGTGACCACTGGCCATTTGCAGCACATACACTTTCAATGTTGACAGTAGGTCGGTGCATATATCCTGGTCTACATGAGTATTTTACCTTTTCCCCAGTCACATAACTGGCTTTAGGACTGCCACTGAGCTGCATGTTTTCAAACCTTGGTGGCTTACCACAGGCATCAGAAGATGTAGACAACAGGGTCACCAGAAGGGTCGTAAGAAAGAACTGAGCAGAAAAGTGCTCTGGAAGGTGTTGGAGAGGCATCCGTCTCAGTGCTGAACAGGTGGGCTTTATTTAAAAGGGCTGAAGTCTAGGGAAGGACTTTCTCAGTCTGATTACCATAGGCAACGCAACAATCCCTAAGCCCACCTAGTGTCAAGGCTAGACGACAGATGGGCGTGGCCTAGGCCACGCCCAGGAAAGAAGTCATCCAACGTACTGGCTGGCCTGGTTCTATCAATATATGAATGGAATCTCACTAAATAGTGGATTTGGGTTAGCTGTCTAAACCTGCAATATTTAACCTTTCTTTATCAGCAAGGGAATGTTTTTATCTTTGATTATGGACTCTTAAATGATGTATTATTGGTGCGTTCTGTCTGGATTTGTCCCTAAGCAAGCCTGAAGATAAGTATGTGTGTGCGTGGGATCTATTTGAAAGATTTCAGAATGCTCAAGTGAGGAACTTGGAAAAGTAGGATTAAGAAAGAAGAAAGGCACATCTCAAATGTTGTAATGGAGGTGTTACCTTGTGGTAACAGGGAATGAATCTCCATGTGCACCCCTTTAGGAGGCTATCACAATACCCTTAGAACCAGCCTGCAGAGGCTGGAATAGTAGGTCATTAGTTACTAATGATTGTACTTGCTTCCCTGAACAGTAGCTCCAGGTAGATATAACTCACCCTCATGCTTCTTCAAGAAAATATCTGCTTGCAGCATGCAAGGATCTAGCTGACAGACTGGCCAACATGGGTGGAGTCTCATGGTGAAAATGATTTATCATGAATGCCAAAGCACTGGTCAGCATCTGCTCGGGGTCAGTATCCATCTCAGTCCATTGTTCTGAGAATATTCTGAGCACTTGGGAATGCTATTTCCTTGCTTCCTTTCACCAAGGAATCCCAGGATGTGTAGACACCAGAAGGAAAGTTTGCCCCTAAAGTTTTCCCCAATGCATGAGAGACATGCTACACGGAAGAGCAGCTAGCTTTCCTCAAGAAAACAAACTGACAGACAAAACAAAACAAAAACAAAGTCTTTTTTTAAAGACTTATTTATTTTTATTCTATGTATTTGGGTAATTTACCTGCATGTATGTCTGTGTATCACATGTGTACAATACCCAGAAAAGGATATTGGATCCTCTGGAGTTACACACAGCTGTGAGCTACCATCTGGGTTCTGAGAAACAAACTCAGGTCTTCTGCAAGAGCAAACGGTGTTCATAACAACTGAGCAATCTCTCCAGCTCCTCTCCTGCTTCTGCTTTCTATTAAAGCCTACCTCATGCCAGAACCCCTGTAGATGGACTGAGGGTAGTTATTAGATTTCTGTGTCCCTCTTCCTTATTCTGTTTTTCACTATTAATTGGATCATTTAATTGGCTTATTGAAGACAGGCTTCTTAATTTGTTTGTTGATACATAGACTGTGACCTCTGAGTCCAATAACAGAACTAGCAACACAACTAGAGAGTATGTATCTGTAATAGATTAAATAAAAAATAGCCCCTATAGGCTCATATATTCAAATACATAGTCATCAGGCAGTGGTATTACTTGAAAAGTAATAGGAGGTGTGGCCTTTTCAGAGGAAGCTTGTCACTGAGGATAAGCTCAAGGCAGGCCCACTGATTCTCTCTTCCTGCTGCTTGCAGATCCCCATGTACAACTCTCAGCCACCCCTCCATTACTTCCATGCATGCCTTCATGATGTCTGCCATGATGCCATGGACTATACCTCTGAAACACTAAACAAGCTGCAGTTAAAGTCTTTATTTTCTAAGAGTTGCTGTGTTTCATGGTGTCTCCACGCAGCAATAGATTAATGATGAAGACAGTAACCAAAGCAAATTAAATCTGCATGTTGAGACTTTAGTATCCCATGTTCATTGATGGACAATTTGCTAAGAAATGAGAAAGAAATTATTGAAGAGCAAATAAAATGTATTGGATATATGAAACAGAAATTTTTTTTGAATGATAGGTCCTTCATGACATAGGGTGGGTCTCAAGATGATCATGTTGTGTGACATGAGGCCATGAGGCAAGGGGTTGGGTTGTAGGTCAGTGGCGCACTGTTGCCTCAGAAATGCAAGATACTAGGTCCAATCTTCAGCAGTACACAAAGAAGGTTGATGGAGGGGAACGAGGCACATAAAGACCAGTATTTCATGCTCTATCTCATATGTAGAACCTTAAACAATTGATTTTAGTTGAATAGAGTTGAATATAGTTGAGTATAGACTTGTGGTTGCCAGATGCCAAGTAATATGGGCCTGGGTTACTATGCTATAGAAAAGAATAAAAAGCTTGTATTTGCTATTGTAATATATGTTGACTATATGTAACAAACATGAATAAGAAGAACAAAAAATAACTAATCAATGTGAAAAGAATTTGAATGTTTTTATCAAGAAGAAATAAGTAATAGATGAAGAAATATGTATAACTAACTGGAATATTATGTACCTTGTATAGGTAGAAAATTTATGCCTCATTAATATGTACGACTTTTATGTGCCAGATAAAAATAAATTCATAAAGGATAGTACATATTCTTAGTAGAATTCTGTAGTGTTTATCAGGTCATAAGGTTTCTTTCATGGAAGACTTTTTAATGCTGATTCAATCTCACTTGTTATTGATTTATTTTACTTTTTCTCCAGAATTCAATCTTAGAAGGTTGTCTGTGTCAGGAATGTGTCCATTTCTTCTAGGTTTTCTTTCCTGAAGCATATAATTGTTCATAACCACCTTTTACTATCTTTTGTATTTCTGTGAAATCAGTTGTAATATCTTTTTCCATTTCTAATTTTATTTGTTTGAATCAACCATATTTTGTGTGTGTGTGTGTGTGTGTGTGTGTGTTTTAGGTGTCCCCTCACTTTGTATTTATGTCAAAGTTACGAGTTTTTATAGTTTTTGTCCATTAATATCATTGCAGAAATATCTTCTCAAATATATCTCTATCAACTATCAACTCTTATGCCAGTGGTACATGGCATTTACTCAACATTTTTCCAATCTAGAAAATTTCCATCATACACACACATACACACACACACACACACACACACACACACACACACACACTTTATATATTTTATTTTGTTGAGTGTCATTTCATTTCAACATGAAGAACAACATTTCATTAAACATCATTTTTTGTTTTAATAGGTGGTATCTGGTAGTTAGTAATTCCCTAAGCTTTTTATTTTGCTTGCTGCGAGGTCAAGCCTCAAGCCTGTGTTTGCCCACTATCCTCTATCCTGTGCACACATGGCAGTCTGGTACTCAGTGTTCCGGAAGCCTCTGTCTACATTATCATCATAGACCCTGGGGACTACTCAAGTATGCCTGATCCTAGGTCTAAGGTCAAGTTTAATTCTCCGTTTACTTTCCTTTTCCCACCTAGTAGCTATCTCTTTATGTTCTGTCTCCTAGGCTGGGTGCAGGATAGAGGAGTGGACAATGGGAAACTTTCCTTCTACTGGCTTAAGTGTTTTTTCCCCTTTTTATTGGTGTACTCTAAGAAAAGATTATGCTATCTTCCCATGATCCCTTAGCTCTTCTAAAAGTATTTTCCTGTGAGATCTAGAACCTTCTGTTCACCACAACTTAGCCATTTTTTTTTATTTTCTTAGCCATTTTATTTATAACACACACTGGGGAATTGGTACTAATCAGGAATGCATAAGCTTCCAGTTTGGAAGGCTAAGGAATCCAAAGTGAAATTCCTGGTAACTGGTGAGGGTTTGCTGCATTAAAACCCAATAGAGACATCATATGACCACAAAGCCAAGATAGGGTAAGAGAGGAAAGAAAGTGTGTGAGCTTGGCTTTTTATAAGAGATACTCTCCTGTGATAATGAGCCAGTTCCTGCAGCGATGACACTAATCCATTCATGAGGGCAGACCAGTTACCTATCATTTCCTGAACATCCCACTTCATAACACTATCCCAATGGCCATTAACCTAAAAATCAATTTGGAGGGAACAAACACAAAAATCATCGAAATTGTCTTCCTAAAACCACACTGCCTTTTTCTTTTATTTGCAAATGTTTCTGACATTAACTTTAAATTGTGCCAGCACCTTCTTACTGCCGGACTCTCCAAGAACCATGACAGCCACCTTATAAAAATGCCATAACTATTTCTCATGCCCACATGTTTGCATTAAGGTAGTAGAAACCATAAATGAAATAACATAGCAATACTGCTGCCCAGAAATTTACAGACTGCATGGCTGCTGCTTATATTGTTAGCATTATTGTAGCTATTGTACATATGAGCCCTTGTCCATCTAGGGCTGTAGTATAAGCAAAGTCTTCCAAGTTATTACTCATAATCAAGATTTTGGCTGATCAGTAATTTAATTAGACTTCTGTCAGATTATGAATGCCTATTTTTCTTTTCTCTTTCAGATAACCTTAGATGTAGCTGAATATAATTTTGTAATGGTGAAATGAACTATGGCTTAATGTGCTTCTATTAGATTGTTCTGCCAGTAGATATTTGGAATTTTTCTAAGTGCCATAGATGAGAATCCCAATACAAGATTACCCCCTACCCTTGGGGTATGTAAAGTTATTTTACTTGGAACAATACATCATTTCTTATGGGGGAGACTTGAAGACACAGTAATAAATTTTGAATGCAACATTTTCTTGTGGCATGCCAGAGTTATAGAAAAGATACCAGTGTCCTGGTATTGTTTTATATATGTCCCATATCTCACAATGATCCATTATCATTAGAGTTGAGAGTATTCGCATAACCTTTCTCTTCTATCAAACAGTGAGACTTGTGCTTACCTTTGGCATCCTGGTGAGTATTATAACATATGAAAAATTCTTACAAGGCCACATAGCCAGACTTATTATCCATCTTCATTCCAAAATTCCATTTGTGTTTACATAAGCAACTACTTGATGTTATATAAAAGGAACCGTCTTCTTTTGTTATGTATTCATTTTACATAAGACAAGTGATTAAGGTTTGATCTAGAAATATTGTAATGGGCTCCTGTATCAGGGAGG